TGCTGACAACACCAAGTCAAGGGTTAAGATCCCCTTACCGGTCATCTTGAAAAAAAAAAAATAAATTCATAGAGCTTTTCTTTCCTCTTCTTTCCTGGAAGGACACTACTAAATCTATAGTGCAATGTTCTGTGTCCTTTCTTCTGGTGTGGCCTAGAATAACTGGTTCCTGAAACGTCAGTCTCTCTTTAGGAAACAGCGTGGTCCCAGCTCCCTCGGGAGCAGTGTCTCCAAGGCATGTGTGGGCCCCAAGGTGCAAGTTCCACTTGAGCCCAGCCCAGACAGGTTGGGATAAATGCTCTTATACTCCCCTGGGCACATGATAAAGTCTCTGCACGCTCCTGACACAGTCACTTTCTAAGCGGTGCTGAAATAAACAGCCATCTCCACTCACAATGGGAAAAGGCTTCTGGCTGGGTGTAATGTCAAACAATCTGACAAGCACATAAACGGATGTAAAAGGAACACAAAGCAGAAAATATTTAATGACAGGCAGCAGTTCCTTCCAATGCACAGAAGCACATTGCAAAATGATACTTATAAGTTATAAATGAAATGTAACTATTTCATTTTAGCACTCTATAATGAATTCATCACATTTGAATAATTTCCTTGTAAAAATAAATATATGTTTTTCAGATGCCTACTCTGCTCTAGGCAGGTCTAAAATGTATTTATAATCAAACAGCCTCTATCTTGCTTGTTCTGATTGACAGAACCATCTAATTTTTGGTTCAAATGAACTGTGGATCTTCTGGATACCAACCCCCTGGAAGTTTCAAAATAAAATTTCTGATTTCTTATGAGGGAGCTGGACTTTAAGAAAGGAAAACAACACTATTGGATTCCACTGTGGAAATAAAATGTAATTCATAATACGACTGCACTGGATGGGATCTGGTACAGGGATGCTGCTTCACGTTCAGGTGATGCGCCTGTGCCTGCCTCCCCCTTCAAGGCCTTCTGAGTATACGTGTCATAAGGGGAGTGGAAAGACACAGCTGCTCTACCTGCAGGAGTCAAAAGCTGCCAGAAGGCTAATAACAAGGCACCTCAAGTGAAACCTGAGCCTTAAAGATTTTTGAAACCTTGATGGTAGAACTTAGGAAAAACTAACCTCAAGGCAACACACAGTTTTCTATCTCAGGAGTCTTCGGTACTCCTTTGGGGGCAGATCATTGCTTTGTTCTGGAAGATTCACCCGAATGGGCCCTGGCAGCATTCTTGGATGGGGGTGCTTTGGCATTCTGGTGCAGACAAATTTTTGTTATGTGGCTCTGTTCTGGACATTACAGGGTATTAAGAATACCTGACTCTGGCCCAGCAAATGTCCCCAGTCACTGTGAGAACCAGATGTGCCCCCGCCCATTTCCAAGCACACCTTGTGGAGGTGGTCCCCATCTGTGAGAGAGCCACCGAGTGAGGCACACTGGTCCTTGTGCTCACACAGACCCCGGGGAGCGAAGGGCACTGTTCACCTGGGAGACTAAGTGATGTGTTTGGTAACCGCAGGACACATGGAGCCAGAACCATGTTCCTACAGACTTTAAAGTTCTCTGCTCTGTATGAAATAGGATGGGACTGTGCCTGAAAAGTAGCTTGTTCGCTCTGAGAGGTTTGTGTGTTGTTTTGAATGCTGTACTTGAAAGACACTAAATTGGGATGGAGTAGACTGTGGGGAGACTTGCAAACATTAATGTCCCCTCTCTGTGGTAAGGGGAAATGGTGAAAAGGAATTAGGCCAACCTTGGACAGGCAGTTCAACAGGAACCTGCTGATGCTCTGTCCGTAGCATTATTTAGTCTGAAATTCCCAACAGGTATGAAGGTCAGGTTGATATATTTTCATGGAGTTATATATAATCCTGTCAGGAACTATGGACAAGATGCACCCCTGTGGGCAGGGGTGGGGCTTCCCTTAAAGAATTGGGCCTTCCCATTGTCCATCACCCTGGGAGAGGCTGACTTTAGGAGAATACTAAGCATCCCAGAAGTGAGGTGGTGCCTCTCTGAGGCACCAACGAAGTTTCTGTGTCCCAGATGAAGTGGCTGAGTGGGTCCCTGACACATAGAAGGAACCAGCAGGTCCTATCAGTAATCCTGACACTGGGTCTGGCCTACCAATGTTGTGAGAGTCACCACTCGAGGCAGTTGTAAATTACTCTCTGACTTACCAGTCCTAACTCCTAGGATGTCAGTAGTAGCATCAGGAGTTGCGGCACGGGCTTACTCAATGAGTAGTGATGAGGGCCAGCCTGAGCTCAGGAGAGAAGCGCTGCCTCCACGCACAGAGAGCGGCAGGCAGCACGTGCAGGCCCCAGGAGCGAGGGCAGGGGCGGCTGGATGAGGAAGCAATGAGAGGGCCCGGGCACATGCACACAGCATCCTGCACAGCCGAGGGTTCAAAGTCATCATCAGGAGGGCACCGGTAGAAATCTGACCTGTTTACTATCCAGCACATGGCAGAGCCTGGACGTGTGACTCACAGGAATCGGCTCAGGCCAGAGGCCCAGATCACCCACCTCTCCTCTGCAAGCAACTGTCTGAACTGTTGGTCCCTGTTCCCTCTGCCTCTCAGGTGGTGTCCCATTTCTCCCAGCCTCCCCTGCACTCCTATGGCACTGAGACTCTGACACACCTCTACTCTGCGGCACCTCTCCCCTCTGGTGCACCCTGCACATTCACTGGCTTGACTCGTCATTTCTGCATCTGTGTTGTGGAGCTTGCGGCTGCAAAGCTCACTTCACCTACTGCCACTTCTTCTCCCTTCCACACCCCTGCACGGCCCGCACACCCAACCGCACGTAGGTGCTAGCGGAACACTTCTCGGATTGAGAGACCAGGGACTCTCAGTTACTGTCCTCTACTTGTCCTTCTTTCTTACTCCACACTGCCACACAAACACCAGGCTGCAACGTGGGGACATGTGAGTGAGAAAGTGTGAAAAAGGGAATGGCTCCTTAATGGGAAAATCAACTTTGACCAGCTAAAACTGGATAAAACCAATTCTGGCAAGTCCTAACCTATTCCAACTTGCTAGAAATACCTGGTTCTGGGTTTCAGTAATGATGCTCTCCCTGTGGCTCCAGGTGAAACAGCCTCGTGGCTCTAGGGTGGCTGCCCAGTGGCTCCAGGTGCTGGAGGCACAATGGCATTTAGATGGCATGAATGCTCTTTAAGTGTTCCTGTAGCCAGGTATGTCCATGATTCCAGGTAGTTTTGGCATCATGGTGGAGATTCTAGAGCTCTGCATTTCCATGGAATCAAACTAGTTCTGGCTGGTTCAAACTAGTTGTGAATGATTTAAACCAGATGAATGTGGTCTTTCCTGGATCAATTGTTTCTTTTAAGTCCTGATAAAACAGATTTAAACCAGCTCTAACTAGTTTAAACTGGGTTAGCCTTGCACTGACTCATTCAGATTAGCCAGGTTAGATTCCAAATGGCTCACTCTATTTGAAGCAAGCCAGTTCAATCCCGTTTGAACAGGATCAGTCAGTTCAAAAGCAATGCCACCTAGTTTGAACCAACTGTCACATGAGTGTTTAACTCACTGACTTCTGGTCATCAGTGGAGTCCAGGGATGCACCTCTCACATTTGAGGCATAATGCTCAAGATGACAAACTGCCCCATTATATCACCTTTTCGAAGTTTATGGTCATGTGTACTTTTTCTCCATTTAGAACAACCTAAGTAGACAGTGTGTAAATACAAGGCCTCCAGTGCACGTGGAGGTCTTTTTCACTCATGACTGTCAGCAGGTACATGTATCGGCACTGCCTGCGATACTGGGACTAGATACAGAGCTAGGGACCACTCAGGTGCCCATATCTGCCCACCGTCCCCCTCACCTTGATCCTGCTCACTGCTTCCTGGGCCTGCATCATGCGCACGTTTTTGGAGGGAGTCTTGTCCGAGAGCAGCTGGGTGGAGCCAAGATAATTGGCAGCAAAAATGATTCCATCAATCAAGTCTTCAGGGTCGCAAGGTCCAGGAACTGTAAGACACAGAGCCTCAGCAGTGAGTGAAGCCACCGTGGGGCAGGGCCCTCCAAACCCCCCAGGGCACACCACTCCTTCCCCCACGCATGCCCGCTGGCACAGGCGGGCCAGGTATGGAGACCCCTAAGCAGGTGAGTCAACCTGCTGGTTGGTCTCGGCATCTCTGTGTGTCTGCCTTCACCCACTCCTCATTTTCAAATAGAAGGCACAGTTTCTTAGAGTAATTTACTTCACCCAAGCCATCTACTGTGAGAGTGATGCAAATATTTACTTAAATATGAAATATAAAATTCAGTGACAAAGGAAGTCATTTCTCCGGCTAGACTGTGAACTCTTTGGGGACAAGGATCATGTCATTTTCATCCTTGACTCTCTTGTGTGAGTGTCTATCACTCAGTGGCTATCATCTAGATGTTTGCCAGATTAAATAAAGGTGACTGCAAAGTTGTCTTATTAGAAAACCTCATTTTATAGCAATTCTTATTGCTTGCCACCTATGCATATTTCCTTCCTCCATTTAATCCATAATAGAGGAAACAAATCTAATAAATCAGAAACATGGGGAAATTTGTTTCAGAATGTCTAGATTCCTATAATGGCCTCTGAGCCCAGTTCTGCTAGACAGATACCATTACCCCAAAGCCATGGTCCCATGCAGCCAATCTCGCTACCTTTCGGGCCATAATGTCCCCAGCCTGTGTCCAAACAAAGATCAATTCCAAGGAAAATCAAAATTTTCTGTTCTCATTGACTAGCTTTTAAATCAAAGCTGTTTTCAATATTTTAAATGGTGGTACCTAATTCTAACCACAATCATCTGTAAACCCTACCTAAAATTAAAACATGTCTGGATAATATATAACTTTATAACAGGTTCACTAAGAAAGGCATTTCAATCTTCAATTTAAAATATGTATTTTCTTTGACTTGAATGCTATATTTGAGGATACCAACATATACATTTTAACCCACTGTTAAAACCTCAGGGTCTTAAATTAGATAACTTGAAATGGAAATAGTTTGCTTTCTTCCTCTTGGAGCTAATCTGAAATGGTTTTTATTTTTATGCTTAAATAAGTTCATCTTAAGCTAATACAGCTGCTTCCCATGATAAGCTATTTATCAGGGTACAGACTTAAAATAATCTATTTATTTTTATAAAACTAAGGTGGTGGTAGAAAGAAATTAAAAGTGTTTTGGGAAGGGTCTTCACAAAGCATCTGGGTAAGTAATTAAATAAGGAAGCCTGTTATTTGTCTTTTTCTTGATCTTAATAAGAAAGACTCCTGCACAAACACTGTAAGCCAAACCTGCTTCCACTACATACCAGTAATTTATTCTCTTCTCAACAGCCACATGGGTCCCACCCTGAAACTTTGATAGATGTGAGAAGGATTCAGGTTATTTACAATATACAGTTTTAGTTGTATAGCAGGGAAGTATATAAAATAATACATGGACAGATTTGAACCCACACTACACTTTATATAAAGATTGTCAGTCTTCTATGATAAGTTCCTAAATGATAGATTTACAATGTTACTTAAACATTATCATTCTTGCTAACCAGATATTAAGAAAAAAGATCTAATTTGGGATAGTAATTTTTAAAAGCTTTCCTCTACTTTAAAAAAATGATAAATGTTAAAAGAAAATAAATAATCATCTTCTCTATGTGATTTCCAATATTATATATTCATCTCTGATTTAGCTCTGGCCATTGAAAAGGGTCCCTTTCAACTGCTATAAGTGTGGGTATGAAGATATGTTTGAAACCTACCCAGATAATATTTAAATGATCACATGAATGCCAAGCAGCCAAGAGACACAAATACTGATCCTAAACAAATTTTTAATTTGAGATATGATCTTATGCTATTTATCCTTCAAGGGCATTGGCTATGACTGAACATCATCGCCAGCCACTGTATCACACCCAGAAAAAAAAAAAAAACAACTCTACTTTCATAAATGCACTTTAAGTTCAGTGCTAGTATATTTTTTTAAAGTTTTTTTTTAAAAATGAAGGTATAGGGGCCGGCCCGGTGGCGCACTGGATAGTGCGCCGCTTGGGAAGCGCGGCGGCGCTCCCGCCCGAGGGTTCGGATCCCATATACAGACCGGTTCCCACTCACTGGCTGAGCGAGGCGCGGGAGCAACGCCGAGGTTTGCAATCCCGTTGCCGGTCCCTGGTCCGGTACGGGGGCAACACTGAGGGTTGCGATCCGTTGCCGGACACGGAAAAAAGACAAAAAAAATAAATAAATAAAAATGAAGGTATAGTGATCCTATGCCAAAGAACTGAGGGTTAATTCTGAGCTTTGGGAACGTGTTTTTGGGTTGCTCAGGGGACAAACAAGCACATACTACGTCCTCACGCTCAGGTCGATGCTGAGCCTGAAAATCTCTAGCCCTGGAGGGATGAATATGAAGAAGAAGGGAGTTTCCAAACTTCTGAAAACTTCCCAGGGTGCTCTCATGGAATTTCAGAGCCTCACAAAATTGATACAAATAATTTACAAGTTACTAAAGAAAGAAATCTGAGTAAATAAACCACAACTATGAGCTCGTCCTGGGCTTCAGGACCAAGAGTTCATGAATGTTTATGCAACCTGGTAATTCATTCCCAGGCAGGGAAACATACCAACTGTTCACTCACAGGATCCAAAAGGCCAGACGGGCCTCAAAGAGATGTCTGGGCATTCTCTGGCCTCCAGAAAAGTCTCCTTCAAGGACATGGCCATCTACCTTGATAGGGCATCAGTGCCACCTTTGACCAGAGGTGCCTCTGTGTGATTGAGAAATAGGCGCCCCATTTGGGTGGCACAACCTCAAGCTGGGTTGCATAGCGTGGTCTGAGTTTTGGCCCCACTAGGCCTCTTGAGTGGCTGCCCTTGTGCAGTGAATAACCTGCACAACCATGTGTGGCAGCCCTGCAGAGAACACAGTCCCAAGGAGGATTGTGGAGCCAGCCTACTGGTTCATAGCCTGGCTCTGCTTTGCTAACTACGTGATCTTTGGGCAAGTTACCCTCTCAACGCCTCAGTTCTCTCATGAGTTACATGGGGAAAATAATTAAACCCACTTTCCAAGAATGATGTGAGGATTCAATTAGTCATTCTGTGGAAAGTGCTTAGAACAAACAGTACCTGGCCTTTCGTAGAGGACCAAAATTTCTCCCTTAGTTCAAGTTCACTCCTGCCTGAATTGTCCTTGATGGATGTAAGAGATGCACTGGGCTAGAAGTCAGGAGACTTGGGTTTCAGATCCAAGGTGGCCACTGCTAAGCTGTATGACACAGTAAGGCCCACAGCCTCCTCCAGCCCTCAGGGCCTCGATCCACATAATGAGCAAAAGCTGGGGAGAATTTTTGAGAGGTTTCCAGCTGTTGTACTTTTAATCTAAGATCCTAAGACTGTTAACACTGTGAATAAGTGACATTGTGGCCTTTCTTTCCATTATATCTCTGTGCTTCAAATGCCCAGAATGCTAAAACATTCATGAATGACTCAGTGCTCAGTATTTTCTTTTTATCTCTTACCTTCAACGTAGGTTGGGAATGAAGCCAAGCTTTTTCTTGACTGTAATTAAGACAAAGAGGTTTCAAAAAGGGCAAAGCATGATGAAATATGCATTAACACAACCATCCATGCAACATGAAAAATAAATATATCACCAGCGGCAGTTTCTTAACCAGTTATTGACCATTTTTGCTTAGAGAAAGTGAAGTGTGGACAAACATATGCATTTATTATTAAAGGCTACCTAAAACCCAGAGCAGTCTATTCATATTTTGGATAACTTGAAAATCCAACATTTCACAATCAGAGAGATATCTGTTGGCTAAAAAAAAAAAAATTCCACAGACCAAAGTCTATAATCAGCAATAGCAATAAAAAGGGCACAAATAAAAATTTGTATTCATAAGAATCTGTGTTTCCATGTGAAGAACTGCTGATCGGTAAAAGCACCAACAACATGATTATATGTTGAAATCGAGAGTTCCTTTAGAGAATTTTATTTTAGGTCTCTGCTGCAGTGTGGATCTCTCATTGCTCTAAAAATATGTGCTCTCTTCCTTTCATCTCTTACCAATTTATTTTAGTTGAAAAATTCCATTATATAAATCATTATTGTACATTACCTTAAAATAAGAACACAACAAAGGAGTAAATTAAAACCCCTGGAATTTCTCACATTAAGTAACACCTCACAGCATAGGTCAGTCTTCTCATAGCACTGCTGGAAGTGGATACAATGAGCTAGAAACCTTCTAGAACTTGAGTAGATAGCAGCTTAAATGTCAGCTCTCAAGGAGCAAAACTTACTATAGGCTCCTTTCAGAAGCAATGTCCCAGACATAACCCTGAGTGAGATAAGACTAGGAAATTCATTCCTGCTGCAGCTAAGAATAGAATTTGTAGCTGATACATTTGGGGCAGGGTGATATAAACATTGCAAGGGAGTCGAGAGCAAATGATAAAGACAAGTGTCCCTAAATGGGCAAAAGGCAGGGTCTGCATAGCTGAGGTCTTCATTGCTGAGAACCTACTAGGTACTAGGTGATCATTTAAATACGTGCCTTTTAGATAAAGGGTATCTAGCACAGCACGGCTACCCAGCAGGTTGACTTGAATAGATGGCATATTCTGGGGTGCATGGTGGGCTAGAAGAGGGATGGGCTCTGGGTCATGGTTGGGATGTCACAGGAAGCAACTCGAAATCCTAGCACCGCATATGCAGTGCTCTTTACTTGGAAGATGAAAATGGCAAAGGGATGTTTACTTAGTTAATACTTGCACAACATTCTAAAAATAGTAGTATTGATTATTTGTGAAAAATTGGGGGCAGTTAAAGAAATCCGGTTTTAAGACTAACTCAATTCAGAACAATGGCAAGAATTCAACAGTAATCACACAATACACCTCACAGGGCAACCTGTCCGTAAACCTGTTGCAGATGTGCTCACTGGGATGAAATGGCTCTTCACACTAATGAAGGTGGGTTTCTTGTGCACCAGGAATGAAGGGTTACTGGCTGCTAATGCATTTATGGAAAAATGTGCTCCAAGTTAAAGCGAGGGTATGTGAACAGGGGAGAGAGAACTCCAATGTCAGCAGTGCAATGCATTAATTTTACTTTCCACTAACCCAGTGAGAAGACAGGCCCAGTTGAGTGTCAACAGCCAAGTCTGTCTAATTCTGGTTGGTTTTTAAAAAACCCCATAACTTCATGGTATGCAGATGGAAACCAGCTTCTTCATAAGGGCCAAAGACTTTTAAATCATTATTTCTCAACCATCTTCCTGCCCTTGTCCCCAGAAGCTAGAGCTCTGGGGTGATGAGAGTTCACTTTGTTTAATCAAAATGGCTTAGCCTCCAGGTACATCCAAGAAGCCAATTCAGATTTTCTTGGGATATTAGGATATTTTACTGAATGTTAATCTCAAAGGTAGAGTCCAGATTTTAGCAGAAGCTACAAAAGGATTACTTGGGTCTATAGCTCTAGAAGCCGCCATTTTCTTTAGAGCTACAACAGAGGACATTTAGTACATTCACTTATTCTCTATTCATGAGCTCATGACTAGCTTTCTTTAGTCTCTGGGGTAGTAAATTTTTTTTAAAAAAGAGTTTTGTGAAATTAAAGAATCTCTAATTATTGCACACAAAGAGGATTTTCATCATTATTTCTAAAGATATGCAGAGACATGCGCCAAGTCCTGTAGGAACTGAGAAACCAACACATTTGCCTTGCTTATTATATCTGACGCATAATCTAATGCTGAATATGCAGATGTCTGATTAGGCCTTTGTTTTTTCACATGTGGACTGAGATGAACATCAGTTGACCCTTAATATTCACGAATTAATAAAGTCACATTCAAGAAGCTAAAGGCTGAGATCTTTGGGCTTTTTCCTGGGGGTCTCCATATGTAGAGCATGGAGGACAGACAATTGGAATAATGATATACAAGCCACCTTGTCCGTCAGTCTGTGACCCACAAGCACATTCCATGCCAGGGCAGCAGATCCTGGAGTTTACAGCATGAGCCCACAGGAGCTCTGGATTCAAATCCTGGCTGACCACTTGTGAGCTCTGTGACCTCCATTAAATGACTCAATCTCTCAGCTTTCCCAGCTAACAAATGAGGACAACGGTGCCTCACAGAATTTAAGGAAGGATTAAATGAGATACTATCTGTGAGTTGCTCCACCTGGTGCCTGAGACACTGTAAAGGCTCAAGAAATGATAATGCTCATTACTGCTGTCATCAGTGCAGCTGTCACTCTTTTCTTACTATCTTTTCTCACCCATCCATGTGCTATGAATAAAATCTGAAGCAAACCGTGGGATGGTGGGACCAGCAGAAACTGTGACCCTGTCCCTTCCTGTTCCAGAGGCCTAATGTCTGAGGATCAAGACCAGAGGAGAACAAAGTATATTTCCAGTCTAAATTCTAATGCTGGCATCATTCCAGAGAAGGTCACTGTTTGTTTGGCTTAATATAAATGGATTAAGTAAAAAAAAAAAAAAAAAAAAAAAACCCAACTTCTCCCCTCCATGAATATTTAATGGCAAATGTAGGTGTATTCAATGATACTTTAAGGGTAAATTTTACGTAAGACTCCCTTTAGAAGTGATCTGCCAGTCAGGTTAAAACAGAGATTGTTTTCTTCTACGGCATTTTACATAAAATCATCAGAAAGAGGAGGAGACATGACACCACCATTCATCGTGCAGTTTATCTCTAGCACACCTCCTCAGTATTGATTAGAGAACGTCTATATTTAGAGTGAGCTGAGCCCACACACGGATTCTGGAGCTGGCCAGTATTTACCTGATGCTGGTTCATCAATAGGTGTGGGTGACAGCTGGTGTAAAAGGACATCGGGTGCTGGGGAGGACAGTGGCTCCCCTCAGGAGAAAACACCTGCCCTTTTCCAGCCCCAGAAACCTCAGTAGGAGCAAGCAGCCTCTCGTCAGTTCAATACTCTGCTGTATTCAGCTCAGTGACTCCTCCACAAGTGGAGTGACCATATAATTTGTTGTCCAAAAGGGACACGTCAGAGCTTTCCAGTAGCCCCTAACCATATGTAGCTATTTAAGTTAATTAAACTGGAATGAAATTAAATTCAGCTCCTCAGTCCCACTGGCCACATTTCAAGGGCTCAGTAGGCATGTGAGGCTAGGGACGACCCTGTCAGACAGTACAGATGTAGAACGTTTCTTTTTTTTTTTTTTGGACTGAACCCTGGACCTTGGTGTCATCAGCACCACACTCTAACCAACTGAGCTGAGCAGCCAGCCCAGAAGCAGAACATTTCCATCATCAGGGAAAGTTCTACTGGAGAGCAACACTATAGAAAGTGAGAAGGGGAGCTCCCAGGTGGGCTGCTTGGACAGTAAGTGTGAGCTGGAACCACCCCAGGTAAACCAGGATGTGTGGTCACCCTGCTTTTATAAAAGATATTTCACTTGGGCCTGAAATGTGGGAATTTAAGAAACCGACCCATTTCCCAAGCCACACATCAACTGCAATTCCATGGTATCAGAAGACACCTAACGTCATGAGCAAGGATGCTATGTGGAATTTTTGATGCCCAATGTCCACTGCTGTCCAAGAGAACTTTCTGCAATGATGCAGATGTTCTGCAATATGTCCTGTCCACGTCAGTAGCTGCCAGTCACTGGTGGCTACATAGCACTTGAAATGTGGCTGGTGTACCGGAGGAAGTAAATGTCTCATTTTATTAATTAGACACCTGTGGCTAGTGGCTACCAAATTGGATGGCTTGGCTCTAATAGATGAGTTACACAGTGGAGAGAGAAATCAAATTTTTCTCCCCAGGGAAATTTGGGTCGGGAGCTCTGTAGGGGGCTGGGGAAAGCACAGAGTAGGATTAGAATAAAACAAAGTAGGCTGATGGCTTTGGAAACAAAACAGCGCCCTACCTCTTTATTTGTGGAGGCTTCCGCGGGGTCACTGGGATGGAGGGGTGTGCTCGACGACTCTGCACCCAAGGGTGAGGAACTGCCAGGAGACGGAGACTAGAACACAGCAAGAGGATAAAGAGCAGTGAGAATCCCAGCAACTCAGGGGACAGCCGGCCTGGGGGAAAGGGACAGCAGAGAGGAGCAGAGGGCCACAGCCGAATGGGCATTTCCATGGGGAGAAAACCTTGAAAAGGAACTGCCAACCAGACATAACAAGCCTGTGGTTTCCAAGCTTTGTTTTCTATTCCTGCCCATGTTTTCAAAGGAGGTTTTATAGCTCTGGGTCCTTTATTTCCCCTTAGACAAACTGTTGAAAGAAAATTTAGAAAAAGTTGAATATTCTAAATGAATAGAGCTAAGGGTATTACAAAAATATATTTAAAATCTTTTTTTCTTATTGAAGGACACAAACACTTAGAGTACCAAATGTCTTAGAAAATTACCGGCTTAAGATTATCTGAATGAAAGACTAAAAACTAAAACGTGTATTTTTAAAGAGGCAGCTGGGATGGATTTTGATGACTGGAAACCACACCGTCTGTATGTTCCTAGTCAGCTCAGAGTTTGAATATTTTGTCTGATGTAATCCACAGGCCACTGAAAATTCAGAGAAACTTCAGCATTGCCCCATCCAAACGTTACCTGGGATGCTCTTTGAACAGTTGAAAAATCCTTAGTCAAATGAAAATAAGGCTTAGAAAATAGATTTGGGGGTGTGGTCCCCGTCAGGTGTGGTACCGCCTCAGTGGTTGGGGCGCAGGCTCTGCACACGGAGCTCCCAGGTCAGTGCACCAGCACGGCAGGTGCACCAGAAATATCTGCTGAATGAACGAGCAAATAAAGCAAGCAAGCACAGGGAGGGGACTCGAACAGGCTTCGAGAACACTCCCCAGTCGATAAACATTTCCGTGTGTTCCTGAAATTGTGGGAGATGAAGGGCATCTTCAGGTAGGCCACAGGGAGGCTTAAGACTTCTGCAGCGATGGTTCTTGAGAGCAAGGAGGCATCGCTTCCCAGTTTGTCCATTTACCAGGGGGCATAAAGCACAGGAGAAACTACACCAGGAGGTATTCTCTCAAGAAGTGTGGGGATGCGAGTGAGGGGAGGCAAATCCTGAGCAAAGGAAGCAAAACAACACTCGTGTTTGCTTGAACCTGAGTCTGATCTCGAGACTGTTCCCCTTGGGGAAGCTGAGGCACAGAGACATCCGTAAAGTATCTGCACGGAGAGGAAGAATGTTTCACAAAGCAATAGTGCCGGGGGCTGGGAGCACCTTAATATAAAAGGGGGAACCTCAGGGAGCACTGTGTGAAGTAAAAAAAAAAAAAATAAGTCTTTTCCAAAAAGTTGGAACTATAGGAAATATGGGGGGCACCAAACAAACAGAAAGATAATGCAGTTAAATTCATTATTATTCAGATTAAGAAGCTGTACGATCCCAGCCCATTGCTGAAGCTTGGATGTATTTCCCTTAAGCCCATATACCTGCTTCTAGGCAGGGAGGATGGCTAACGAGCCTCTTAAATGTTCACATGCAGAAATCACACCCACTGCGGTAAAGCCAAGAGGGCAGGCACAGACATAAAGTACCCAACCCCCACAGCCCCTGGCCACAATAAAGTAGCCCTGCATGCTTTTAAAAAGAAGCACGTGGAAATTTTCATTCAGCACCCAAGAGAGTTGGTGGGTACTTGCTGAAACAGCTCTATGTTTGGCCTACTCAAAATTAATGTAGTAAAGTCTTCGTAAGAATTTAATGCCTTTAAATCGCCCAGTTTTTCGAATTGGAAGGGCTTCCGTAGATATTTACGGCTCTATTTTTTTCCCCAAGTCATTTTCTCTGTCACAAAGATTTTAAGGGTCTAGCCCCTGGGGAAGCTAATGCAGCTTGATTTTATTTTATTACTTGGTTCGAGGGCTGTGTAACACTTTCATTAAAAAAAGAAAAAAAAAAAATCCTCCAGAGAATCTCACATCTCCTACTTATTTTCTGCTCCGAATCTTCTAAAAATGGATTCTTTACATCTCGCAGGCACCAGGTCATTTTAGGGTGATGTGAGAAGCCAGGTTATCCAGACAGTGGGCAGGAATGTGGAAGAGGGAACTTGGATCCCCACAGTAAAGTGAAATGACTAGGGCTGGGGCCCGCCATGGAACCTGGGGAAGAGGCACAAATGACCCTTGGGGCCCTGCCCTCAGAGGCTCTCGTGGGACTCACACCAACCTTATCAGGTATCATTTACCCTCAGATACCTGGTACTCTAGCCTTCTGCATATGCACAAGCTCACTGGAGTTTCCTTCCATTTGCATGGGCAAATAATGACCTCCATCTAGAGAGTTCTCCCTTATTTTCTCCTATGTTCAATGCTCAATTTGAAAGCACTCATCTCACTGAAGCTTTCTCAGACTATGTTCACAGTATCCTTCTCCCCGGAAGGCACCCGCCGTGTTTCATAATTATCTCTTCGTGTGTGTGTGTGTGTCCCTCTGCCCCTAAGAGCTCTAAGGCAGTAGGGATCCTGTCTCATTCAACTTTGTCATCCAAGTGCCTAGCCCTGGGTCTTGTAAACAGTAGGCTCTCAGTAAATGTCTACTGAATAAAGGATTTCAGTGTAGTTTTTAGCTTTACAATGTTTTCCAACTTGCTTGGGAAGCAAATATGTTACAGATTCACACACCTCTTCCTCTGATTATATTTAGTAGTCAGTGATAAGCCTGCTTCTGATAGAGCATCCCTGTGCTGCTATGTTTAGAACGTTCAACCTGAATTTTGAATTAGAGAAATGGTCTTTGCCTGTGAAGATTCTAACCAGGGCCAGAGTGAAGCTCTTTTGAAACAGAAAGATGTCCCCAAACGAGGGAGGACCCCATCTGGTAGAAGCCTACAAACCAGCACACACCACTGTTGACAAAGTGAAGGGTAGACAAACACCTTCAGAACAGACACAGTCCCTGAAGCCTAAACAAAGGGGTTAGTACTCAGCTCAGCTCAAATGTCTGCTTTAAAGTTCTTTGCCTCTGACCTCTAGCTTTTACCTTGATGTACTCTTAAAAGTAGAGGGGGAAAAATAGAAATTAGATAATACTTTTTACTTTCAAAAACGTATTGGAGGCGAAAATTTAGCCAATGAAATATGATAGAAAGAGTAAGAATTATTATAACACATTTCTCCATCTGGAGTCCCATGCCTTCTGGGCTACTGGACCAATTTTAAGCAAACGAGTCCAAGGGTGGGAAGCAAATGTGGGGTCAGGAATTCACAAAGGTGAGTGCCATACAAGGACATCTATCTAGGATGTGGTGTTCAAAAATCACTCATCAATAACTCCCCGTTGTACATAATTACATGAAGTCTCAAGTTCAAAAACATCTTCTGCAGACTGTGTTCTAGCAGATTCTCTACAACTATGATCCAAATCTTACCACTACAGATCTGGGATTCCACAAAGCAGAGCTTTTAGCATGCCAAGACCAGAAACATATTGTCTTGTCCAATGGCACGGGAGCCAGAGGTGGCCCAGGGAGGCGAAAGCATCCCAAGGGAAAGTGCTCATTCATTTTAATTCTGAGTGAACGTCTCCTAGGGCAAACACTGCACTGCTGGTGGTAGAGGTAAGGCAGACAAATAGCTCCAGGAACTTTCAGGCTGTGCTGGTAGGGGAGAAAAGCAGCACACAAGTCAGTATTCATTTCTTCCTTCAACAGACATCTCAGTGCCTACCTGTGTTCCTACCTGTGGGCCAGGAAACAAAGAGGAAGGAGACATCTCCAGTGAATGGGAGGAGGCAGAGATATAAAGGCAGGACTGTGGCAGGTGGCTAGGATATTAATCTGTACAGTGGAGACACAGAGTTGGGAATGATCAGCTCTGCAGGAGGGGAGGGGTTCTTATCAGGCAATGCTTCACGTGTGCAATTTCTGACATGTCCATTGGAATATGAGGGTTCAGGGTCGTGCTATTACAGTGACCAATATAGAAAGAGAATCATGTGCATATGTACTATTCTACTGTTAATTTACAGCACAGCTCACACATCACCTTGATGTACCACTGATTAGGACACTTAGTGAAAGACCCCAGCCAGCACTAGCCAACCTTGAGGAATCTCAGTACATGTTGGTCCCTGTCTTCCAAGGAAACTCAGTGACAAATATTCACTGTAACAACGGGTAGGAGAAAATAACTCTTTATAAAATTATAGTTTTGCCGAATCCATCTGGGACAGAGTTAATTAGTAATTTCACATATGTGAAACAACTCATAGAACTGAGAATAAGGTGGTGTTTTTTTTTATGTGACCAAACAGCCAATATACTACATGAGACTGCTGCACTAAGAGCTCATGAACCTTCTTAACCAGAAACCTCTTACTAAAGTACCTGTTTACTTTCATTTTAAACACAGTTTTAACAAGCTCTGAGCAAGTCATTCCTCAACTTGAAAATATTTAGTTGTTCCTTTTTGCTTATAGAATAACTTCTAGGCTCCTTACTGTGGCACTTAAGGCACTCCAAGGTTTGGCCTTAATTCCTTTACTGCTTTTTCCCCTTCTAGCTCTTACTCTCGATCGTCAAGTCAAACTGAACTATAGTACTTTCTATTCCCAGCATATAACCTGCATGTTTCTGCTCAATGTCTTTTTTATGACTTTGTCCAAATTCCACACATCCATGAGCCTCCAAAGGTCCATTTCAAATACCTTTTTTGTGCAGTCTTCCCAATTCTCTTAAGTGAAAGGAATCCCTCTCCTGTAAGGATTGTTTGCATGCCTTATATCCATGCCATTTTTATGATGCACCACTTTTTCCTGTGTATTTTATAAATATATAATAATACTATAGGATAATAGCTATATTCTAATTACACTATTTTAATAAACACCACAAAGGCAGAATACGATTAATTTACATTTCCTTTGCAAGTGCCAAATACAGAGCCCCACAAAAAATACAACAGAAATTCAATAAATGTGCTGAATAAATAAAGGATGCATAGACATCTATCTTGTTGCATCAGAGGAAAAGGAAATGAAAAACAGATTTACATACAGA